AAAACATTTTTAAAGATCAGAATCACATTGAAATATTACACGCCCGTTAGCAGAGGCGGGACATACGACTGCGAACAACTACAGTAAATACTTTTCCCTCCTCTGCGGACGGTCGTGTAATATTTCAGTGTGATTCTGATATTTTAAAATGTTTTTGCATAATGTAGTATTACTGATACATAATTAGTTTTAGGATGCCTTATTGTGGGTAAAAATATGTATAGAGTCAACCCTCGCTTTACGCGGTCCCACTTTACGCGTTTCCACGTTTACGCGGTACCCTGCCAAACACGGAATGCTCACTTTCCGCGGTGTTTGTACCCTTTTACGCGGAGAGCGGCGAGAGCAGGGTGCGCACAAGGTCGCCCAGTCATCAAAACATTACCGAGTTCTTCACCTGCCACCCACCACAGCCGGCCCAAGTCAGTGATAGTGAGGATATGGACTTAAATGGACTTTGAGGGGTTTGACAAAGAGGCCCTGCAAGCCTCTGTGGTGAATAGTGATACAATTGATACAAGTGATACAGGTGAGGGCCAATAATCTGCCCTCTGTCTCGGAACCAACCCCCCATCCCCGTGTGCCCAGCCATCTTTTCTACTAATGTAAGTGTTAAAAAACCTAATATTATTGATATTTCTCTTAATTATTAATTGTGTGTGCATACCATCATAAAATTAAGAAGCTATTTTTACTACAACGTAGGTATTGTGTCTGAAAAAGTGGAGTTTGGGGGTCGGCCCGGTCTCTATTTCAATTAATCCCATATGTTATGTTGTTCACTTTACACGTTTCTCACTTTACGCGGGCCGCCTTGGGTTCAATTGACCGCGTAAAGTGAGGGTTCACTGTATATTAAATGCACCCTCCAAAAGCATGAATTTGCTACCAGAGTTTAACAGTTAATTTATGAATAATACTTCTGATAAACTTTCTACGTGCTTATGTTTGAAATAATGAATGTATGTATCTTTATATAATTTAGCTAAATACCTGTATCTTTCTCGTCAGAAACGGTCATCCCAGCGACTATGAATAAACTCATTTAGAAATACATCATTACTTCAGGACAAAATCGGACAGGTTGCAACAGCCAATCAGCTGTAACTCTTGAGGGGGAGGCGGGGCATCTTTTCTCCGCCGAGAAAAATGCACTATACGTAGTAGGTCTTTTAAGGTCCTTCATATATTTAGATGGTCCATCCCTCGTAACGATCTTCACGAGTGAGGTGCTCTCCCACCCGGAGACTGTCAGTTGATTGAAAAGGTTCATAGACTGCCTGCAACTGCCTAGCTTATACTACAGACGGGAAAGGGGCAACCTAATTGAGGTGTATAAACATCTCAGAGGGCACCACTCAGTGGAGTGTCCATACCTGGAGTTGGTGGACGCCCGTCCCATGGGGTCACAGCTCAAGGTTGAAGAAGCTACAAATCCAGAAAACTGTGAGGGCAAACTTTTTCAGAGTGAGAATTGTGAACTCTTGGAACAACCTGCCAGAGAGTGTTGGGATGGCACTGAGTGTGAACTCTTTCAAGACCAGATTTGACCAACACAGGAGCATGTTCAGAGACATTTAGGAGCCAATGCATGCCCAGTACTTGCAAACAGTGTGTAACAGAGATGTGACTGCCCAAACGGCTACTGAGCCGATAAGTTGCGAAGAGGATAAAAGTAAAAAGTAACCCCTAGTGGGGTGGGCATCTGCCATATCCAGGTATGAACCTCGACTGAATAATGCCCTTTGAGATGTTTATAAACTTCTATTAAGTCATCCCTAGCCCACCTATAGTATAACTTGGGCAATTGCAGGCAGTCTAACCTCTCTGGATACCTGAGGTGCACGCATCAGTCTGGTTGTCCTTCCTTTGGACCAGATGGGGTGACAGTACTCCAAATGGGGAGCACCTCACTTCTAAAGAGTGTTACGAGGAACAGACATAGATATCTGAATGCTCTTCTTATAAAGCCTACTAGATTAGTTGCTTGATTCACCTTCTTCTCACAATTAGAGTGAAAATATTTCCAAATAAATGCAATTTCCAGAAAGTTGATCACAAAAAATATTACTTAAATATAATGGAACTTAAATACAGTAGTGTTACTTCATTAATCCACACCTATGCTCAAAAGCTCTGAATTAAGTAATAAATACTTACTGTATTTAATAATTTGTATCTTAATCTGTAGATCGGGCATGTCATCTGCTAAAACATACTGTTATATCTAAATGGCTCCAATAACCAAAAAGTGCTTTTTGACCAGCATTACCCATTTTCATTTTATCCTCTTCACCACTGATCGGCTCGTTAGCCGCTTGGGCGATTGGTCACGTCTCTGTTACTTTTCTTTTTCTTTTATACTCTTCACCAAATGATCGGCTCGTTTGCAGCTTGGGCGATCGGTCACGTCTCTGTTACGCACTGTTGGCAAGAACTGGGCATGCACCGGCTCCTGAATGTACCTGATCCTGCTCCAGTGTTGGTCAAGTCTGATCTTGAAAGAGCTCACACTCTGTGCTGACACAACACTTTCTGGTAGATTGTTCCAAGAGTTCACAACTCTCACTCCAAAAAAGTTTGCCCTCACAGTTTTCTGAACCTGTGGCTTCTTCAATCTTGAGCTGTGACCCCTTGTGGGGCGAGAGTCCGCCAGCTCCAAGTAAGGACACTCGACTGAATAGTACCCCTTGAGATGCTTATACACCTCAATTAGGTCGCCCCTTGCCCGTCTGTAGTATAAGCTAGACAAGTTCACGGGCTCCAATCTCTCAGGGTAGTTGAAGTGCCGAAGTGCAGGCACCAGTCTGGTGGCCCTCCTTTGAACATTTTCAACCAACTGACAGTCCCTAGCATATCTCGGGGACCAGACAGGGTGACAGTACTCCAGATGGGGAAGCACTTCACTCTTGAATATCGTTACGAGGGACGGACCGTCTAGATATCTGAACAACCTTCCTATAAGACCCAATAATTTATTTGCCTGATTTACCTTCTTCTCGCAATGGCCCAAGAACTTCGGCTCATTGTCAACATACACACCTAGGTCCTTCTTACATTCAGTCTCAAATAGTGCAGTTTCTTCATCCCGTTGGGACATATGATACGCCTCTTTACTGTTGGTACGCCCTAGGTGCAACTTCTTGCACTTCGTGACATTGAATCTCAGCAGCCATTTCTTCGAACATTCTTGGAGTTCACAGAGATCCTTCTGCAGCTCTTCACAGTCCACATGGTTCTTGATTTGCCGAAATAGCTTGGCGTCATCGGCAAATATTTGTATGGAGGAGTGTACAACGTCAGGCATGTCATTTATGAAACAAACAAACAACAGCGGGCCCAATACACTGCTCTGTGGTACCCCGCTTGTGACCGGTACGGATGATGATTTCATGCCATTAATCACCACACACACTGCTTGCGGTCATGTAGAAAATCTTCCATCCACGCTAGGACATTTCCCCGAATTCTGTACCCTTCTAGATTGATTTTCGGCCTTTCGTGGGGTTTACTGTCGAAAGCCTTGGCAAAATCTAGGTATATATATTGTCGATATTACCACCCCGTTCCAGAATATGGGTCCAAATATCCAATACCTTGAACAATTGTGTTAAGCAGGAGCACCCCGGCATAAAACCTTGTTGGTAATCCTTTACAAGGTTGTTTTGTAGTAGATGTTCCATCTCTGCATCTCTGATAATACTCTCAAGTACTTTACATATTATGCTGGTCAGGCTCACCGGTCTATAGTTGTTTGTGGAGTGACGATCGCCCTTCTTGAAGATAGGACTCACATAAGCCACTTTCCATTCACTGGGGACCTTTTGTTCATCCAGACATTTACAAAACAGGATCTTCAGGGGCTCGGCAAGCTCGTTGCACAACTCTCTTAGCACTCTGGGATGCACCATGTCAAGGCCGGTACTCTTATGGACCTTTAGCTTTGACAGTTTATTTCTAATACCCTCTTCTGTGAACACAATGTGAGTCAGTGCTGTGTCGAACCATCTGTCCTTAAACGCAGGAAGGTTAATCGCATCCTCTCTTGTGAACACCGAGGAGAAGAAGCTGTTTAATGCCTCAGCTTTATCCTGGTCAGAATCTGCATAACTACCAACTTCAAGCCTCAGGTCTGATACTCCTACTCGCATTTTTAATTTCAACTTTGCATAGTGGTAAAAGGCCTTTGGGTTTGACTTGACCTCACTTGCAACCAGCCTCTGGAACTCCTTTTCATCCCTTCTACACTCTATCTTTACTGGGTTTCTGGCTCTTGCATACATCCTCCTGTCCTGCTCATCATTTGACCCAACCCACATCTTGAATTTCTGGGTTTTCTTCTTAACTTTGTCGACCGCCACATGGTTCATGTGTAGGGATCCCCTCGTATTCCTAAAGGCACTGGGTTTGGTCTTGGGGTATATATTTATCGATCAAATGGGTCACTTTACTAGTTATGATATTCAGCGTAGTGTCTGCGTTCTTGTGTAATTTCTCTTGTAATATTTGCACCTTGGCCTGGCCTTATCTTGAACTAGGTAACAGTTAAATCTGAATGACAACACTATATGGTGACTGGTGCCAACTGGGGCAAGGTGTTCCAGTTTGGCCACCATACCCTCCTCCTTTGTTATGATGAGGTCTAGTGGCTTGGGTGTTTGCTCCCCTCTGTAATGTGTCGGGTCTCTAACATGTTGGAACAGAGAATTATCTTTCACAGTTTCTACAAAAAGAGTAGCAGGGTTATTCAAGTCCTTTGGGGGTAAACTCGTTTCTCCAGTCGATGTCGCCATAGTTAAAGTCCCCAATGATAAGGAGGTGGCTAGCGTTGAGTATCGCCGCATTGTCTATTAAGGCTCTTAAGTTCCTTTGATTTAGTGCGCCACAGTTTGGGGATCTGTAGATACACCCGACGGTAAGTAAGTCCCCTCCCTTTAATTTAATTTTACACCACTTGGACTCTTCAAAAACATCCTCTCCCTGTACCCTCGCCTGGCTGGCTCTAAGGTCTTGCCTAGCATAAATAACCACACACCTCTTGCAAGTTTGTTGAAAAAGGTTCGTAAATGAGTCATATCCAGCAATACTGAACTGACATTCCTCTGAGTCGATTCTCCTGTTCTTGTACAACAGTTCTACAATTCCTACAATATCTGGTTGGTGTACCTTCAGCAGTGTATCAAACTCCTCTCACTTATCAAGGAACGTGTCAGTATTACTGAACATGACATTCAAGCCAGAATTGGTTCTCGGTAATGTCTCTGCTCTTAGTAGTACCGCCCCCTCATTCTCAGAAGCTGCAGCATTTGCTAAGGTACACTGTATTTTGCAGGGTGTGGTTAGAAATGTCATTATTTACACGGCTCTCGCCTCCTTCTGTCTGGTAGGCGGAGCTGGTGCCACCTCCCGGGTAGGGGGTAGAGCGGGTGGAGGGTGCGCTGCTGCCCCCTGGCCCTGTGTCGGCACACTTGCTTCCACTACCCTTTCCCTGAATTTAACCCATGAACACCCGTCCCCGTTCCTCCTCGACTATTCCCTTCTCTGCTTCAAGCCTTGCAGGAGCTTCTTGTGCTGTTCCCATAGATCAGCTAGTTTTAAGTTTCTACTTCATATAAGATTTTTTGTGACAGGTGAGTGACTATGTAATCTGTCACAACTCCAGTTGTGTACCAGTGTACCAGTAACTATTTTTGTTGGTTCCCTTCCACATTGCCATGTGTAATAAATTTCCTCTTACCCTCTTGCTGCTGTCACTTTAATCATACCCCAACCCCAAACACTTTCAGTTTCCCCATGATCTCACAGCTGCTGTTAATTTACTCATAAATATTTACTTTATCTTACATGCATTTTCCACAGTCGGAGTTGGTGATTCCAAGCGCGGTTGTGCAGACAAGTCATATCCGGACACCTGCCAGAAAGCCACAACAATTATTGCCTCTGGTGATGTGTGCTTCTGCAATGGTTTCCTGTGCAACTACAGTAGTGCTGGAACCACCTCCCTCTTCCTACCACTCCTCATACTCCCGTATGTTCTGCACAAATTCCTGTAGAATTAGGAAAACTGGTGTCAATGTTGCACACAATCTATAAGATATCAGTGACAGTTGTGTTTGGCATCTACACTTTCTCCTCATGACGCTTACCACAACCAATGTTGATTCTACCACTGAGCATAGTTTTTAGTGCCTTCCTTTGGCATTTCAGTTAGTGTATCATAAAGTACAGTACCAGAAATTATTGTAGTACTGTGGACTACTGAAATGGTAAATATAATTAATACTCTAAATCTATTCTGTTATTTCTACATCTTCTTTTTGATTAATAAGAACCAGGAACTGTTATTTACTTTATAGTCTGATGGATATTCTGTACACACATTTTTTATTGATCAAGGATATTCAACATTTAAACCCACTTTATTGCGGACATCAGGTTGAAATCTTTCATTATGGCAGATGCCGCACATTATTCAATACTGGTGATAATTTTGTAACTAGTGCTGCATTGTACTGTCCTGGTAACACCAAAATTATGTAATGTATGACTTCACTGTATTGTTGACACCAGTGTATCTGATGCTGTACTGTACCATACTCCAGTAGTGATACCATTGTATTAAGTACTACTACTATACTATTAAAACCAATATATCAAGTAATGCATTATACTCTACTACAGTAGTAAGACCTTTGTTTCTCGAGCTGCAATATTCTGGACTGGTGATACCATGTTTAATACTGCATTAAACTGCTCTGGTGAACTAATGTATCTTTGTATCTAGTGCTGCATTATAATGTACTGGTGACACCAGTGCAGAAAGTGCTATACTGTATTGTACTGGTGACATCAATGTATCATGTTGTACCTACATTATACTAAATTGGTAGACACCAGTGCACCAGGTGCTGCACGGCACTGGTGACATAATTGTATCGAGTACTGTATCACACTGTACTAAAAACCTGTATCTAAGCTATACTCCACTGTATTGGTGACACAATTGCATTGTATTGCATAGCACTTTGATTGGAAGTGCCATAATACAGTGTAGTGGAGCAGTTATACATACAATCATTCACTGCATAGTGTGTTTCATGGCATGTCATTTTGGAACCAAGAGAGACCTCTAATAACTTTTACTAACAAATGTCAACAAGCATGCATTGCTGACCATTTGATCTTGTAAGGTTCAAAGTTATTCTTATTATCAGTCAAAGTACAGTATTAAAGGAATGGAAAAGGAGCAGAATGTTGCAAAAATAGCTAACATATTAAGTTTTAGACAAAACAAGCCACAATTGCATAGTTTGTTTGTACCTGTATTATACTCATTAGATGATGATATTCCGCTACTGCTTGAGGAAATCCTGCAGTAAACAACAGTTATTCCTAGAGAGCAAAGTACTGTAGAGTAAAAAATAAAATAAAAACAATCTGTTGTGATCTTAAAAAATTTAAATTGTATTTATGGTAAAGTTGTTGAATATAGTTCACATTTAACCTTAAAAGATATAGAACTAAAATTTCTCAGATTAACTCAATATTTTATGTGCGCTAACACACACACACACACACACACTGGTGGATCTAGGATTTTGCAAGGGGTGTTAGTGGGGTGAGGATGGTTCTCAACCTAACATTAAATATAACACTTGGCTCAAACAAACCACAATGTGGGTGTTTAAAGTTCTGTGAATAGTAAGTTTAAGAGAATAGACAGCCAGTCCATAAGTGTTGTATTTAATGCTCCATGTACATAATACAATTGGTCAATGAGGGGCTGAACCCTCTTCAGCCCATCTGGATCTGCCACTGTACACTTACACAAAAATTTCATTTGTTTTAAAATTAAAACTTGAAACATAAGTTTAATCTAGTTCACAATCAACTCCAGAATGATTCATGATATAATTTGCATTTAAATACTTAAAAATACCAGATGTGATTTACAATCAAATCTTTACATGGTACAATAAGTTTAATTTACAATTAAAGCATGCAAGGCATGTTAGACATAGGTCTTTGTTTTCCAAACATTATTTTTTGTTTATGTTCACAGTTACTCAGCAAAACACACAAATAACAATTTATACTGGAACATTACCAGATACAGTAGACTTAGTTTAGAGGTAAGTCCTGCAATTCACAAGAAATGGTTTACATTTAATCCTGCAAAGTTTAATCGGCTTGGTTAAGTTAAACCATACAAGATATACTAAGCATAATTCTTATTTGTCCTACTAGGCACAGTAAGGGATAATGATCATTGAGTTTACTTCATGGCACTGACAAAACTATGGAGATGGAATTACCAAAATAGAGTTAATTGTCTCCAAGGTCAATTTGATAAACACATGACAATTACAGTAGTTGTAATTTATCTTAGAAAGAATAAAAAAAATTCTCCTAAATGTCCTGGCTTTGCCTATTGATAGATAAGAATAAACCTTAGAAGGTCAGTTCCTGAAGAATAACATTTTAGAATTACCTATGTAAAAGACATAAAAATGTAAGAAGTTTCTTGTAGCACTAGATGTAAGTTAGTTTGTCCTTAAATGAATTTGTAGTGAGACAGATAGGCAAAGTATAATAGAGTTTTCGCCACACTTTCAACACGCCACGCAAAATATAAGTTTGCATAGAGCTACAGTTAATGTAGTGAAAGTAGTGAACTTCATGAATCGTAGATATTTTGTATTTTCTTCTGCTGTTATATTGTGCTTCTGGTGCGTGGCATCACACCAAGAGCTTTATATTATCTAAAACATTATATGAAGGGCTTTATTGATCTAATTGTATCTTATACGAGCCAGTCAATAAAGTTTATCATAGATGTAGTCATGCACATTTCTGCCCTTTGGTTGAATGAAAACTAAACATGACAAATTTAGTGTACGAAAATGATATCACTCAACCATGGAAAATGGTGTAAAATGTTGAAGATACTGTTTACTTTTTATACTCAAAATGGCCAGCCAAGCAATTGGAAAAATGCAGAGTTGTAAAAAGTACCTTACTTTGTTATTTAAGTAAAAGTACTGTATTGTTACATTGGCAAATTGTTACTCAAGTAGAAGTAAAACCACCCAAAGTTCAGTGTACTCAAATAGAAGTAAAAAAAATATCTCATTCATAAAGTACTCAAGTACTGAAAGTGTAAAGTAACAAATTTCTTCCTTATCCACACAAATATCGTTGTTGTGGACTTATGGTCTACAGATATAATGTTGTTTCTGCTCTGCTGGCAAGTATCTGAGGTGGGGGATGACCTGCACTTCTCTTCCTGAAAAACTCTGTAACTGTCCCAGTGCTAACACCCTTCAACACTATTGCCTTGACTGTCCCACTTTCAGGGACCTCCTATCACAGAATGAGTCACTATATGTTACCACCTATTTATTCATAATAATTTAGATTTAATTCTTGTATGCTATCCCCTGGGGTGTAATGAATTAATTAAATAATAAATAACAAGCCCAGCATTACTAAACAGATGTTCACAAGCAGCAGATGCAGGTAGTTGAGTGTTATGTTTGAGGGATAAGTCACATAATGTTGGGAAAGACCTCAGTACCTCCATTCCATCCCCTGGGCATGCCAAGTAACTTTCAAGCTCCTTCAGTTGAGGAGTTTGTGGATGATTGTTGCCTCCACAGTAATTGATTCTGACTAAGACTCACTGTGAATTGTCCCTCTAATTGGGGTGTGACTGTGGTGATGTCACTTTTCGATTCTAATTGAATAATGAGTGGCTGAATTTTTTGCATCATGAAACATCTGGGGGGGGGGGGACAGTGGTACTTAGTTATTTAAGTAGAATTTTAAATACACTCAAGTCTCACACATATGTATAAATACAAGCTTTATATCGAAGACGAAATTATGTAAAGCATTTTAGAATCACAGCCTCTTTGAAATTAATTTTAGGTACAGTACAGGTACTGCATATGCAAAGAGCAACTGACACATAACGGGAAGACCAAGCCCCTGAAGGAAAGGTGGAGGAGAAGAGGGGGGATTTGATGGAGGAGGGGGAGATAAGGGGGTGGGCAGGGTGAGGTTGGTCAAGGTGCTAATGGACATGAGATCAAAGGGAAAGTTCGCTGTCATGGCCACTGCCACCTGACCTAACCTGGCCTATCGTCACCTCACGAGACCTCCAGGTATGTGACCACATGGAGCTCCCCACACCCACACCGTACCCTTCACCCATTCAACTCTTTTACTATGGTTAATAATTAATTAATTAAAACATATATTAATAGTTTGCATGTAACAAGTAACGATTTTTGTCTTTCAATTGTATTGGAGTAAATTTTTTAGAAAACCATACTTAAGTAAAGTAAAATTACAAAAAAATTGAGTACATTTTAAAAAGTAAATGCCCCAAAATGTTACTTGAGTACAGTACACAAGTAAATTTATTTATTTACTTTACAACTCTGGAAACATGATGGTAGAGGATGTGATTGGGATAACTTATAGAGATGCTATTGGCTTGGCAGGTAGTCTGTGATTCTCTTTAGGGAAAGGCAGTGGCACAGCATATCCAGTACATATTATGTACAGTGTACAGAGTGAAACTCAAAGATTAAAAGCAGTCGAGCCAAGCAATTCACAATCTAATTTATCTAAAGTTGCAGCAGTAGAGTTATAGTAGTACAGTAGTAGAATGCTAGAAGAGCAGCACTGGGGTCGTGGAATGCTGAAGGGTCAACATTGAGTTGTGAATACAGTAGTAGACTGTTAGAAGGGCAGCACTGGAGTCGTGGAATACTGGTGGGTCAGCACCGAGTTGTGAGACATTGGTCAAGCAGTGCCGGAGTTATAGGATGTTAGGGAGGGAGTGCTAAAGTCACAAGACACTTGGTGAGGCAGTGCTGGAGTCTATGTATTTAAGAGGAAGATGAGGAAATTGCACTGAAGTCATAGGATGTCTGCGAAGAAGAGCTAGAGTCATAGGATGTCCGTGAGGCTGGCAACTCCAGCGCTGGAATCATGGCCATGGAATCCAGGGAGGAGATATCCGGAAGAGGAAAGCATGGTGGGAGAAGTATATTGCTCTGGCCTAGAGTGCTTTTATAAGGGCAGCTGCTTAGGTGATATCTCAGTGTTCTCATTGGTCAATAGACCCTTTGGAAATACTGTACAGTGGTTCCCCACTGGTCAGTAGGAGGAGCTAACTCAACAAGAATGAAGCCCACTCACGTCAAGCTACATATCTCGGAGCTGATTTACTGGCACATGTGGACTGCCGGGAGTCTAGTCACAACTCTGCACATGGGCGGCACAGATAAGATGGTCGTTTATGCACTGAGATCTAGGCAGCAGTGCAATCCGGTCCTGTCTGTGGGACTGAGCAGCCCTTTCAAGGAGCCACTATCCTCACCCCACATGGGGAGGGGCTAGAAAAGATGCCCTTAACATAGCCTGCCTAAAGAGCCATCCTGACTGGGCAACCGCACTCAGTAAGGTCATCCCTATGTGGTCGAAAACACAATTATAATCACAGATCAAAACAAAAACAATCTATACAACACCTTATGGTCGCTGCATGGAATGTCAGGCCCCTTCTGAATACTGGCACAAATGCCCGTCCTGAAAGAAGAACTGCCCTTGTGGCAAAAGAACTGGCTAGATATAACATGGACACAGCAGCCATTAGTGAGTCCAGGCTCCCAGACGAGGGTCGACTCACAGAACAGGGGTCTGGCTATACCTTCTGGAAGGGTAAGCCTGCTGCGGAAAGAAACCTCATTTATGGAGTTGGCTTTGCCATCCGCCAATGCATTCTTCACGGGCTAACTGAAATGCCTGTTGGGATCAACAAGCACTTCATGATGCTCAGAATCTCACTGAATCACTCACGTCATGCATTTTTCATCAGTGCATACAACCTTGACAGAGTGCTAACCTCCATCTACAGAGAAGATAAGGTTGTGCTTCTTGGTGACTTCAATGCCAGAGTTGGTAGAGATGCTAACATTTGGCAGGGAATCATAGGGAGAAATGGACTAGGCAAGTGTAATCCCAACAGCCTGCATCTCCTCAGCAAGTGTGCTACACACAACCTCATTATCACCAATACCTTGTTTAGGCAGGCTGACTAGTTCAAGGGTTTGTGGGAACACCCACCACCCAAACACTGGCATCTCATTGACTACATCATTGTCAGAGAAAGAGATCACCAAGATGTCTTCATCACCCCTGCCATGAGTGGCTCTGACCACTGCGACACTGATCATCGGCTCATCAGAGCCAAGCTCTCACTTCAAGTCGCCCAAAAAATGGAGAAGGCAACAAGCCTCTAAAAGAGGTTTTAGCACTAAGCATCTGGAGGATCCAGCAGAAGCACATGATTTCTGAGAGCAGCTCGAACATGGGCTGATAAACAACCCAACAACAAACAACCCAAATCCCAGTGCCGAATGGAGTATTCTCGACACTGTCATGACAAAATCCTGCAGGTCGAAAGAATATACCAGAATTGGTTTCATGAAAATGACCCGGAAATCAATGTACTCGTCGATGATTAACGTGCTGCTATAACTGACTGGCAGAACAACCCTCAGTCTCAGACCAAAGCCGATACCTTCCGCAAGAAGAAAGCGACGGCCCAGCGCGAACTTTGCAAACTAAAGGACGACTGGTTTAAAAATAAAGCATGCGAAACCCCAAAACTTGCAGATCAACACAAGATGTGCAAATTTTTCAATTCTACTAAAACATTTTATGGGCCAGTCACTCATGGCACAGCCCCCTCCACTCATCCGATGGTAACTCCCTAATTAAAGTCAAAGAAGGCATCCGTCAGCGCTGGAAAGAACACTACCATTCACAGCTCAACCAAAACACCAACGTGGATGTTCTGACTACCCAGCAGGTACCTCAGCATCCAGAGCTGACCCATCTCAGCTTTCCTCCATCCCTGGATGAGGTAGCTACTGCCATCAAACAGATGAAAAATAGCAGCCTCAAGGCCTGATGGACTCCCAGCCTAGATATATAAAGCAGGAGGACCTCTGCTTACTAGCCATCTGCACTCTCTCCTGGAGAATATTTGGGAAAAGGAGGAAATCCCCAAGCTCTTAAAGATGCCGCCATCATCAATATTTATAAGAACAAGGGGGACCAGCCAGATTGTGGTAACTACCGTGGGATCTTGCTGCTGTCCATAGCTGGTAAGATAATCGCCCGAGTCCTCCAAACAGACTTCTTCCTGAGGCAGAAAACTTCCTCCCAGAATCTCAATGTGGCTTTATACCATCACGTGGCACCACTGACATGATCTTTGCTCCCCGTCAGATACAGGAAAAGTGCAGAGAACAGCGCCGTGACCGGTACATGGCTTTCATCGACTTAACCAAGGCCTTCGACTCGGTGAACAGGGAAGCCCACTTAAATTTATCGCCATTGTGAGGCAATTCCACGATGGCATGAACGGCAGTGTCCTGCACAATGGCACCCAGTCTGAGTTTTCCCCGTCCAAACAGGGGTTAAACAAGGATGTGTACTGGCACCAACTCTCTTTTCCATTTTCTTGACTGCCTTCCTTACTCGTGGCAGTGCAAATTTTAGCCGGCGGGGTGGACATCGAGTACTGGATGAAGGGTCTTTTCAACATAAGACAACTCCAGGCAAGAACAAAGGTGTCGGCAGCTTCCATTACTGAGCTTCAGTATGCAGACGACCTCAGTGTTCGCTGGGAAGACAAGAGAACAAATGCCAATATTCTTGCTGACACCAACTGTTGGAAAATCGAGGCTTCCATTATCCAGGAACAACTACGCTGGACTGGCCATGTTACCAGCATGGACGACAGTAGACTGCCAAAGCA